ACTTTTGTCGGCAAGTGAATTTAAGCCAAAGAAAAATTAAAGGAATATTCGACCTTATTAACGGCATGAATTATCTTTATTATATCACCTAGAATAAAAATTCCTTAAATTACTTAATGATACTCAAGCACCGTTCGTTCCAGTTCATGATGATAAAGTGCGGCGTATCTACAATTTCATTATTGTCGGGGTAGGATGCGTATTCTTAAGCAATACTTTAGGCGAGAATATAGAGTACGAAGCCGCGCATGCATCGATAAATCGGGTCGGGAAAACTATCGAGAGAATTTAATGAGCCGTGCCGGCTTTACTACCCCGCTCGGCTTTATTACCACTCCGTAATTTAACGTGCATCGATTTCTTGTCGTTGCAAGGAACTATAAGTACGATAATTCATTAAACTTGGCCGCTTCTTGGTAACAAGAGCGTGTCCGAATTCGTTATCGTCTTTCTTTCATTTGTTTCTATTTGATACAAACATTACGGAGTCAATCGTATATTCCGTAGTTTCTTATTTCTTCTGAGATTTGCAATCATCTTGATAATTGTCATATTAATTATTAAATTTGGAAAATCACTGACACTGTCTTTGTATAAATAATGCAGTTTTCATCGAGCTCATTATATATGCATGTATTATGCTCATGTGTTATAAAAAATTATCACGCAAGATTTAAAAGTTATTAATACTAGAACTACCGGAGATTAATCTATATGTATATTTAATTCTGCTAAAGAAATCTTAGAAAAGAAAAGAGAAAAAGAGAAAACAAGTTAATAAAATTAATCATCTATGTAATTTCAATAAAAGTCAGAGAAATATTTCAGAAATTATGATGTTTCAAAAATGAGTAATAAATTATTAAAAATTTCAAACGGGTCGATCATTTTGACTCCCTTGATAGTTCTAGTGTTAAACGTAGAGTAACGTAGTTATCTATTTACGAGAAGTGGTTTGAGGATTATAGATTATAATCAACGTAAAATTTGATTTGAATTAATTGTTGCATTTATGTATTCAGCGAAATACTTTTTTTTATTACTTTCATGCGCCGGTATATAACTCAAATGTATTTTGTACATATTATATATTTGCATTTTGGTTTTTTAATTCAAACGGTATAAATCATATTATTTTTTTGTGATTCTTACATCTTATATCAATATTATTCGCTTTATAGACATTGTATACATATCGCGATACACAAATTCGTGAAACGATACTTACAATGTTATTTCAGCCGACGGAACGCTTCAATTAAGTCCCTTATTATCGCGGGGAAAATCTGGAGCGGAACTTGACGTACCAGCTTATGAGGGTTCTCAGTGAGCTTAACGTTGGCTGTATGATAAAGTGGGTAACCGGGAAACTTTCCGACTACATATGCGAGGCCCACATCCCTGCGATGTCCGAGTACAGCCGCATCGCGGCCGGCTCGCGAGACCTCGGAATAAATTGACCGACGTCGCCAATGGTGGTTGTTTATTTTCGAAATTAAATTGAATTGGCCCATAACTTGCCGGTCTATTAGCCCTGGGGACCAGGCTAGTTTGCTCGTAAATCTCCGGAGTATCGGACCGGTGGCACATACGCATATAGACTACTGCGCCGCACGTGTGTATGCGCGTGTGGATGAGCGTGTGTTTGCGCGTGTGTTCGCCGACGGCAGGGTGTCGCGAGGGGAGTGTGGGTATTCGATTCGTCCCCGACAATGCGTCCGGAAGCTCCCAGGAAATACATGGGCGTGGTGCCGAGATAAATGTACTCTCGCATTTGCATACTTCTCGCCCTCACGGTTCCCATCTCCTCCCGGCGCGGCGCGGCAGCGTTCGGTCCTCCGCTCAAGATTCTATCCGCACTTGTCTGCCTTCTCCCCCCTTCTCTCCTTCTCCCTCCTTCCCATCGTTCCTCGATCCCTTAGCCTTACTATATTCCTATCTTCCCTCCGTCTCCCCGTTCTTTCCGTTGGCTCATGTATCTTGTCAATCATATAATCGGGAATCCGAATATCGGGCAGACGTATACGCGACCGGAAGTGAGAACGACGACAACATCCGCGGACAAATGCGATGTCCAGAGTGCCAGTCGTCACTTTTACGACGTTTCACGAAGGAGATCATTTATCGAGGCGAAACGGCCTAGTTTGCTTCGGAAAAACGTTTCCTCGCGAAATCTTGATCTTTCGGGAGTGTCGATCGTATATTCGAAGAATAGACGTTAACGAAAATCGATCGTACGAGGGTGAAAGATGCGAGCGCGAGGATTTCTTCGAACGATGATATCGATCATTGTACGAGAAAATTATAGCGAAATGTTTTGAATGATTGAAATAGTTGGGGACGAACGATCGAAGCAATTGTTAGGCAGCGGGAAGTCCTTCGCTCGCGAGACAAATACGAGAACCGAAGATAAACCGACACAGTATTCCCGCGGGATACTCCTTTCGGAATGCGGGTGCACGGGTGGCGGGATGGATTTATTCATCCTGCTCGACTACTCGCTTGATTATCGGAACGAATCGAATAATTTCTGTCGTCCTCGCGCAGATGTATTTGTCGGGAATATCCGTATTTCGAATAATTTAGCGAAATAAATGTACGTATATATTTATTTATTTGTCCATTTATTCAAGTAACATTTGAATATAGGGATGATATGATTGGAAACATCACATATTTAATGATTCCAAAGTGAATAGTAATAATAATAAACAAATTATAACAACATGTCTGGAACACTCTAATTTATATCTTTATAGCGAATCAAAACAGAATTTTCTTTCTCGTAGCACGTCTGTATTTGCGATGTATGTACGAAACAAATTTATTTATTAAATTTCCTTATTTATTTCTTATTTGTCTCCGGTTGCCAAGATAGGTCAGTATTGTCAAAACATGCGATCTCTCTTGAAACTTACTGTTTTGTATCAATAGGGATCGGTAATATCGGTCTGTATAAATATTTTGACTTGGTTAGATATCGAGATCGATGTTTCGGGGATAAAATCGTTCGGGTGAAAATTCTTCTCTGAATAAGGACACACATACATGTTATTGATACTGAATAAAGACGTTTGCCTTTTTGATACAAATATAGATTCTATATTCGGTCAAAAAGATAGATCGTGTATGATAATTAATCTATCACATATAAAACATACAAAAAATTAACAAATATTTTGTTTTTTTCTCTCTAATGATCTAAAAATAATTAGAACAATGATATAAATAATTAGAACTTATTTTTCTTTTTCCAGATGAAAAATTAATTTGCTTGAAATATGTTTTGCACATTAGATGAATGAAAAACAACTTTAATAATAAAACTTTAATTAAATAATATGTTGAAGAATACGAGGATATAAAAAATTTGCGATTTGTGTTATTATTTTACGATATTTTCCCAATTATCTAATTGTTATTAACTAGTTGATGAGAATAGGAAATATTAACTTCTGATTTGTTTCAAGAAAATAGCAGAGAAGAATAGACGAACGATTGTTTACGAAAATCACTTTCTTTGGAATCGTTACAGAGTGACAACGTTCTCATCCTCCAGCTCCAATCGATAAAAGACTATCGAGGAACTTGGTGGTGGGCACAATGCTCTACTCGAACTTGGGACTGCAGTTCGATTAAAGTGTTCCCGTTTCATTCTTTTCCAGCTTGCTCCTGTTACCCCTTACCTCCTGTTACGATTTTCTCTAACCCTTTCACTATTTTTCCTTGTGTTTTTTCCTCGCTCATCTTCTTTCTCCCTCTTTCTATGTCTTCCATCGCGGGATAGGTATCCCGCGTCTGTTTTTCTCAATATCGCATCTGTTCGGCGAGTTCGACGATTGTTAAACTCGCTTCGCGACCCTCGAAAAGTTTCGTGCTAAGTTCGATGTATACGGTGTCGCATTCTTTGGCCTTAACGATCAAACTTATTCCGGGCGACGCTTCGAGAACTATGCGGAAGACGACAAGAGAGCGCTAACGTTGGCGATTGGTGGCTTCTCGAACTGTTCAAACGGCGTTGTTCACTCAAAGCAACCGACGAAGCATTTTCTATCGTTAGAATGTTTAATCGGTTGTGTGGTCGAAAGGCAACGAGCTCTGAATGCTCTCAGTCAGATAGTAAAACTTTTTCAACTTGAATCAGTGAAAGTGGTACTTATAATTTTATAGTATCAAATATCTTTTAAACTGTATGTATAAAATCAAAATAGCACTTTTGTAAATTTTCCAAAATTCTCCAATATTATAACAAAAGTTCCAAAAAGTGCATTATCATTACGTAAATTATATTTTGTTACCAATAAAGGAATTTGCAACAGTTATATTCATCTCAACGTAACACACAAGAGATTCTGACTTATAAAGATAATAAATCTACAGTAATAAATCTATTTTTACTCATGGAAAATTATACTATATGGAACAATTATACTATATGGAACAATTGTTTATGACGCAAACACAAAGATAGAATATTGCTGCATCACATGTTTTGTGATAGGAGAACACAAATTCTAGATTAAAATTAAATCGTTATTGTACATTAGCATTTACATTAGCGTACACATATCATACAAACCGTTTATTGAAATAGTAGTTCACTTTAAATCCAGTTCAGAAACCTTAAAATTTTTAATGAAACAAGGGTAATTATATAAATTGATGCGGATAATGATATATATTAAAATATTTTCATGAACATTTTTAATCATTCCTAAAATAACATGTATTTATAATTTTTGTTAGTGTTATATTAGCTTCTTTGAAATATATTTGTGAAACATTAAGATTTTCAATCATGACTTAAACATAAAGTATTGTGAAACGTGCGTAATCACATTATATATATATATATATATATAGATATATATCATATCACATCACATTTTATCTAATCTAATCTACAACTCTGTTTTTCAGAGTAAGACTATTACGCAACTATATACCTGCAACACGTTATGCATTTTGTAAAAGTACAACGATAAATGTAATACTATCTATAAAATGGATTCTTTACCTTTTATTCTTGTAACATAAAATAATATTCCCTTTAATCGAAATACATGGTATAATTACGGATCTATGTAAAAATATAAAATGTGACTTGTAGTACTCTTTGCTGCTCTCTGAATCGCTAGTTTAATACTTTTTACACTAATCCAGAAGAAAATTTGACTGTGCATGAACCTCGGGCATAAGTTAGCTTCGTGATAAACGCTGCCGCTAGCTTGGAAAAATATATGGAAATGACAAAGTTATTCTGAGCGTACGGGTGCTTCTTTATTTGAAAGGCAGATCCGGACTTGCACGGACGAAAGAATAATTTCACCAATGTGCACGCGGGACACATTGCCGCAATACCGCGCCTGTTTTGAGTATCGCGCATACATATAATCGGGATTCAGTTTCAACTCGCTCCTTACCCACGTTGTTTCATTTCCGCGATATGCGTTAAATCTGCTAATCGTATTCAGTTGTTTTACCGAACGGTTTATTTTAAACAGTAAATTTAATAAAAAAGTTATATCCGAATATACAGGAATATATTACAAAAGATATGTGCATGTGCAAATATATATAGGGAATTTAACGTTGAATTATTTTTCTTTTCCGTTCTGAAAACACAGGATTGGTTCGTAAGATTAAATAAGGGTTTTCTTTTATGATTACGTTATTGCTTAACTAAATTGTTTAACTAAAGTTTGAACAAACGATTGGAAGCAAGTATACTAAGATAATGTAATATATGCATAACGTAAATAAAGAACTATAACGATCAGTGGCAATGTTATTTCGCGACATCGTGACATTTCTATTGATATAATTTGAAATCATGACTCAGCACTTTGCATGAATTTTTATGCGATGTGCTTACTGATTAGTGAAAATAATATAAAGAAATATAATTCTCTTTTCTTATATGATATTTTTTATATTTTTATTTAATATATATAATAGAGAATAGATATATACAATATAGAGAAAATTTTTAGCGTACAGTTTTATAAGCAGAAATGTTTATCTATTCGTGTGAAAAAGTAATCTGTCGGTTTAAAGACAATTCGTGCGAAATACTTGTATGATTCTAAATTACGCCGCTATAGAACTGGGATAATCTCACGAAATAATATTAACAATCCATCTGTCCATGATCGCCATAGCTCTTTTATACTTACATACATTGTATGTTCCTAACTCGTGATAACTTAAAGATATATTTTACTCGACATATATTTCACAGTTACTAATCGATATATAGGTCTAAATTTTATATATTATAGTTATTTCGCATGACTACAAAATATGTTTCAAGCAGCCAAGATCTCTCAAAATCAGTAAAGTATCAGCTAGTATCTTGCATAATTCGTCATCGTACTTTAATTGCTTCATACCTTCCCACATGCCTAAACGGTCAGTTTGTTGTTTCATTACATCTGGTATATGATATCCTAATAATACCGGTAGATAAAAATTCGCGATAACAAAACCAAAAAGACCACCTTTTCTGTAATCATCCAGCAAAGCTTCGTATGAATATTTCTCCATGTCCCAAATGCCAGCTTCTAACAAATATTCTTTCAATGCATCGTGATAGGCTCGCATTATTTCGAAGAACTTGTCCTTTATTATTTCATTCGGGCAGCACAGGCAAAGATACGTGGAAAGATCGACAACGGGAGTCGAGTATCTAATAAGCGCGAAGTCGATTAGCATCGCGCGATATTGTCCATCGTCTTTCGTCTTGAAGAGCATATTGTCCAATGTTAAATCACCGTGACATAACGTGGACAAGGGTTCCAGCGGTTCTACTGTCTTCATCATCACTTCGTCAAATGCGTTCAAGAGTAAGGCTTCCATTTTATCGCAGAACACTGCATCGTGGCCGTGATTGCGAAGATATTCTACCGTTCGCGTCGAATTAGCATTGCAGAGGAGTTTGTAGTCGTTTTCCATCGTCTTAAAATACCGAACTTCTTGAAGTCGCGTCACGATATCGAAGAACTTATCCCGCTGTAGCTTCTTCATGACATATCCTTTGCCGTGGAATCGTCCGATCTCGCGCATCGCCGCCAACGTGTAGTCTAAAGGAGCATTGTATTTATACGAACAAGAATGATATCCTCGTTTGTTGACGTTCTCCAGGGCAATCACTGAATCGTTTGGCGGCCGTTCGTCGACGTAGAAGCATCTCGGGAAGTTCTCATCCGGTCGAGCATACATTTGATAAAACAAAATCTCGTTGTGAAATTGTTCATTGATATAACCCGCCACAGCAACATTGAGCAAGGGTTTCTTCAATATCATAGGAAATTCCTCGTTCTGTTCCTTTGTTTTGTTTTCAAACTGTAGGAGTACATAATATATGGTAGACATATACTTGTTGATCGATTCAGATACCTTGTACCGAACTTTATCGACATCCAATCCAAGATTTTCAATAATCTTCGACATCACATCTTCGATCCATTTTTTAAAATCTTTGTCGTGTGACATTTTATTCGCCTTACAAGCGCGACCCGTTGTGTTCGAATACAAATACTATACTGATGCACACTGTACAGTGATTTTTATCAGACTGAATGTGATCTGTGCTTGAGTGGCACGCTCGTCACGTGTAGGACTCGCCGGCCGAGCGGAGAGGTAAGGAGAAAGAAGTAGGCGTAGCTCTCGAAAGTGCAACTAATTCCGACCACTGAATATGACAAACTGACTTTGTCTTGCAAGAGTATAAGAGTAAGAACTGTAACTGTGAAATTAAGTGAAGAGTGGGAGACTGATATTAATGCGTGATATCGCAGAACTAGTTGAGCCATATGTGTCAACATGATGCGCAAATACGCAACAAAAAAAAATAATGCAAAAATAAAATATTATTACTTCATGATCGTGTCTCAGAGAAAAATTAAAATAATATAATAAATATTCTGCAAAATACTGTATGCGGTGAAAAGAAGTCATGTAGAAGCCTTGCCTTGTTAGTAGTTATAACATGATTGACAAAATTATTATACCAATCGATTGAATAAAATTATAATATTTTTATTTTTTGATTGGGTGAAATTAATTACATTAATGTCTGTCTGAGGTATTAATGTTTACTTGTAGTTTAGGCATACACGTTACGCAATTGAACATGAGTGTGAAAAAATGATGTATCTTATCGCATATTATCAGCATTATATTGCATTATCGCATATTGTAAAGAGCGAGACGATAAATATACACAATTAGAAATACTATCACTATACAATAAATTAAATTCTTTTAGATTCATAAAATATTATCTTGTATGAAATAAATATTTTTATATTTATTTTAAGATAAATTTTCTGTATTAAACTTTTATTTTATTGCAAATCTTGCGAGTCTTCTAAAAAAAATATCTTAATCTCTTCTAAACTCTTCTAAAAGATATCGTACTCTCCTTTTAAATAAAATAAAATGAATTTAAAAAAAATGTATATAGGTATATAAAAATTAAAGATAAAAGGGTATAAATAAAGGAAGCAAAATTAATAAATGATAAAAACCATAAAAAAATCAAACAAAGAATAGTTTTAAAATATTTTTGAGATAGCAAACAATTTATTACACATTTATAATTCAAAGATATATACTTATTACATCGATTTGCAATTTGTATGTATTTATCATATTTATTTACAATCTATAGTTTCTATACAGAAACATTTTTGTATTTATTATTTTATATTATGTATTTTTTATGACATCTAGTTACCGATTTAAATTTATTTATAATCTATACCTTATAATTATGAATTGATAATAATCTGGCATTATATATTATGTGCATGGAAAAAAATTGTCCCATTATGAAACATATTTTAAACAACCAAGATCTCTCAAATGTAGCAGCATATCAGCTAATATCTTGGACATTTCATCTCCACCAAGTTGTTTGTTACGTAGTGCTCCTTCAAAGAATTCATCGTTGTTTCCGATTGTATCGTCGTTGTTTATATCGTAGTATCCCATTAATACTGGTAAAAAATGAGATGCGATAATGAAACCGAAGAGTCCACCTCTTTTGTAATCGTCCAGCAAAGCGTCGTACGAATATTTCTCGACGTCCGAAATACTAGCTTCCAGCAGATACTCTTTTAATGCGTCGTGATAGACTCGCATTATCTCGAAAAACTTGTCCTTTCTCACGTCATTCGAGCAGCACAGACAAAGATACGTGGAAAGATCAACGACAGGAGTCGAGTATCTAAAATACGCAAAGTCGATCAGCATCGCTCGGTATTGCCCATCGTTCTCCATCTTGAAGAGAGTATTGCTCAATGTAAAATCCCCGTGACACAGCGTGGACAGTGGCTCCCGCGGCTCCACCGCCTTTATCATCACATTGTCAAACGCTTTCGAGAGTAAGGCTTCCGTTTTATCGCAGAAGGTTACATCGTGACCATGATTACGAAGATATTCTACCGCTCGCGTTGCAATTATATCGACGTATTTCTTGTACTCATCACACGTTGAGTTGAATCTAGTTTCTTGACATTGTTTCACAATATCAAAGAACTTCTCGCGCTGTAGCTCCTTCATAACATACCCTTTGCCATGGAATCTTCCCATCTCACGAAACGCCGCCAATGTGTATTCCAGAGGAGCATCATACTTATATGGACAAGAATAATATCCTCGTTCATTGACGTTCTCCAGAGCGATCACCGAATCGATGGGCGGTTGTTCATCGGTGTAGAAGCATTTCGCAAAATTCTCACCAGGCTGGGCGTACATCTGGTAAAACAGGATCTCGTTGTGGAATTGAACGTCGCTGCGGGTCAACCGTCTAAAGTATTCTATCCGTGAGGGTCTCTTTATTACTAGAGAAAGTTCTTCACTCTGACCCTTTGTCCTATTCTTAAATTTCACGCATATGTAATGAACAGTAGACATAATATTGTCGGCTTGTTCGGATAACTCATACCGAACTTCGCTGACGTTCTGTCCAAGATCCTCAATAATCTTCGATATTACTTCTTTGTTCCATTTCTCAAAGTCTTCAATGTGAGACATTTTGTTAGCTTAGCAGAGCAACGTGTAAATTTACACTCGAGTCTAAGAATGTGCCAATGCAAGCTGCTGACACTGACTAGTTTGACTCGGATTCGTTATCTTGATTGTACCGCGACTCGCACATTGCTGTCACTCTGAGATATAATAGTCGTCATAGAGATCATGAGTGGGGCTTAGCCTTGTACAGAATGTAAGTATGACGTCAAAAGTGGGAGGTACCTAATATTAACTTAACGATACTGTGGCAGCACGTATCAACGTGATGAAATAGTCAATAGTGCATATAAGTGATAATTTAGAAGATAAATAACCACAATTGGTCGATTAAAATTACTGTATAATATATAGAGAATGATATATAATATTTAAAAATATGATGTTACGAAATACCTAACTTTAAAAACAATGTTAAAAAATAATATTAGAAATAATGCTAAAAATACGAAATTAAACGATGCGAAATATAAACTTTTGGTACTTCGATTTTGCAATATTTTCGCTAAATTCAGCAAAATTGCTGATTACGTTATCGTAGTATTATCGTTATATGCTCAGCGATTAATTTCTGGAATACATTTTACAGTAAATCGCGTCAAAAATATGAGATAATACATTAAAAATATAACACGTGTAATAAAATGCACAATCAGATTATTATCTTAACTTCAAAACTTTATTTCTGATATTACAACGTATCTGATATCTGATATTACAACAGTAGATATAGTTGATGTATTATTCTCTAACAGCTTATCTCTATTCTGTTTTTAAGTAAGTCTAGGAAATGATAAAATACTTTAAAATTAATAGACAAATGTCTTTTTACGCGCTTCACTCTGGAGGATTAAACGGTTCATCTCTGTCTCTCTTCTTTGGTGTTCGAATAGGTGCAAAAAAAAACGAGGTCACGAAAGATACTTTCGCGAACAATACGCGGCCACTCGAAGAAAGCTGAAAGAAAGTAGATGAAATACGGAATCGTGCGAAGAGTAACGAATGACTGTGGAAACTGAATGACTCAATGTAAAGGAACGAGATCTTTTGTTGGTTCGTAACACGAGATTAACGAAGAACGTAATGGAAGCGTGACAAATTTAGCGAATCTTTGACGCCTCATAAAATATTTGTAATGTTAACAATATGTAAAGAGCTATTGTTATCCAAAATTTTTGAAAAATCGATTCTCTTGTTTTATCATATTTATGTGGCTGAATTCTCTAATACATATATATCTACATATATCTATATTTTGTTTCTTGAAGAGAAGTTACAAAAATTACATTACTTATGAACAATGTTTTTACATTCTTTTAAGTAAGTTCTATCGCTCTTATCTTTTTAAGGTTGGATAAATTACTTCACAAGAAGATTGTTACAATGATTACAAATGAATTAGCTATGTTAGTATTTCGTATCTATATAACCTATATATGAATTAAATCTATATGAACTTGTTTATCAGTAACAGTTTATATTCATTTATTTAAGATTTATACGCAGAATGTCTTTGTCTTTTATTGTACGTTGAACGTTCCTGATACCTAACTAAGCACTCGTACTTTTTTTTACCTCATAGTTCATAATTATTGATTGATTATAATCTATGCATATACGCAACTCGGAATATTACATTGCTTTCAAAAATATTTTAAACAACCAAGATCCTTCAGATGCAATAACATGTCAGCTAGTATCTTGGATATTTCGTCTCCGCCGAACTGTTTCGTCAATTTCGCTCTCTCCACATACTCCATGCATACTACTTGTTGAGGATCTCTATCGCAGTATCCCTTTAACACCGCTAAAAAGAAAGATGCGATGATGAAACCGAAGAGACCACCTCTCTTGTAATCGTCTACCAAAGCGTCGTATGAGTATTTATCGATGTCCGAAATGCCAGCTTCCAGCAGATATTCTTTCAACGCATCGTGATAGACTCGCATTATCTCGAAGAATTTGTCTTTTCTAATTTCATTCGAGCAGCACAGACAAAGATACGTGGAAAGATCAACCACCGGAGTCGAATATCTAAGAAGCGCGAAGTCGATCAGCATCGCTCGGTATTGTCCATTGTTCTCCGTCTTGAAGAGAGTATTGCTCAATGTAAAGTCGCCGTGACACAACGTGGACAGTGGCTCTCGCGGCTCCACCGCCTTCATCATCACATTGTCAAACGCTTTCGAGAGTAAGGCTTCCGTTTTATCGCAGAAAGTTACATCGTGACCATGATTGCGAAGATATTCTACCGCTCGCGTTGCAATTGTATCGATATAATTTTTGTCATCATCATATGTCGGGTGCCACCTAGTTTCTTGACATTGTTTCACAATATTGAAGAACTTCTCGCGCTGTTGCTCCTTCATAACATATCCTTTACCATGGAATCTTCCCATCTCACGAAACGCCGCTAATGTATATTCCAGAGGAGGATCGTACTTATACGGACAAGAATAATATCCTCGTCCATTGACGTTCTCCAGAGCGATCACCGAATCAATGGGCGGTCGTTCATTGGCGTAGAAGCATTTCGCAAAATTCTCACCAGGCTGAGTGTACATCTGGTAAAACAGGATCTCGTTGTGGAATTGATAATCGATGCGACACATCAATCTGACGCTTTCCAACTGCGTAGGTCTTTTCAGTATTATAGAAAGTTCCTCACTCTCACCATTCTTATTCTTGAATTTCATGTTTATATGATATTGCATAGACATAAAATAATAATCGGTGCTTTCGCATAATTCGTATCGAGCTTCATCGACGTTTGATCCGAGATTTTTAATAATTGTTGACATTACTTCTTTTATCCATTCTTGAAAATCTTTAACATGCGACATTTTATTCACTGTGTGACGTGAGAACTGTTTTGTTCAACTTTTAACGCGAGAGCAATGTTCGAACCGGTTATTTCGAGAGTCGATACTCGAATGATACTGTGTAGCTTTGACACGTATACATCTTTTGGCTACTTATATCTTGGGTACGTAAGGAGGGTCTGAACAATATAAAGAGTGGGAGACTTACTTTCTTTCGTGTGTGTGTATGTATATATATATATATATATATATATCAGAAATTGTTATATTTTTTTAAATCATTATTTCTCCGAAAGTACTGGTGTAAAACATAATTATTTCTAATCTTATGAATGTAATTATGTTTAATATTATAGATATAATATGATTATATTTGATGTTATAAATATAACGTAAAAGGAGACGCGCGCATGCATATACGTTATATATTTATAAAATATAAATAGTATAAATAGTATTATAAAACAAAAAAAATAGTAATATAAAAAAGCAAAAAAATATTGATTACAAAATAAATTTTATATATATATTATATATATAAATACTTATGTATATAGAATAAATTAAAATCTTGTTTTGCTCTGATTGTCCATTAGAAATTTTGAAATTTTTAATAAGAAGAAGTATATATGTAGATTGTAGTCAAACTCATTTTTTAAATCGTTTTCTTACAACACCGAATGTCAGTTTGGGAATTTTCTTATCGTGAAGATAAGCGATGGATTTGGAATGACAGAAATCATAACTGGAATCATTCATTGTAAATATATACATAGTTCGAAAAATGTGATAAAATGTTAAAATATTCCTTCAGTTACAGCATTTATTTTGACTTATAAGGCAATATGTAAGAAATATAAGAATGTATTAAAATAGATAAACAAATAAATAATGGAATTAGAAACGATTAAATAATAAAATAAATAAAATTCATAATTATTTAAAGGGAAAATAGCGAAAGAAACAAAAAAATATTTTTAAGATGTAAAAAGTATTTAGTTATATTTACGACACAGAGAAACTTCTTTCTATTTATTTACATTGCGTATGCCTGAAGCATAATTGTGTATTTGGAATTTTTTTTAACTTATATAATTATTCACTCTATATAATTACTATAATTCATTAATATTGGTATATGAATTAATACAGTATTACAGTGACATTAATACAGTAACATACGGTATTAGGTATACACGCACCGGCAGAAATGTGTCTTTTGGCTGCTCGATATATGTGTGTAGATACACGCTACACAAACCAAGTATCATACGTGTGACTTGGCGCGTGGACTCATCCGCCAAGAGACACCATTCTTGCCGATGCGTGTATGCGTGTGACAACACACGTACATACACCTAAACGCCGCGCGCCGTGAGACACCATTTATGTCGGTGCGTGTACACATAAATATCTCGTGATTATAAAAAGTGTTTTAAACAACCAAGGTCTCTCAGATGTAACAACATGTCAGCTAGTATCTTGGATATTTCGTCTCCACCATCCTGCTTGAGCAATTTTAAAGCGTCCATTGTACCCCAGTCATCATATTGTCTATCTCTGCCGTACCCCATTAAATGTGGTAAGAAAAAGGATGCGATAATGAAACCGAAGAGACCACCTCTTCTGTAATCATCCATCAAAGCTTCGTAAGAATATTTCTCCACGTCCCAAACGCCAGCTTCCAATAAGTATTCTTTCAATGCATCGTGATAGGCTCGCATTATTTCGGAGAACTTGTTCTCTTTCACTTCAGTCGAGCAGCACAAACAAAGATACGTGGAAAGATCAACGACCGGAGTCGAATATCCAAGAAGCGCGAAGTCGATCAGCATTGCACGTTGTTGTCCATCATCTTCCGTCTTGAAGAGAATGTTATTCGATGTAAAATCGCCGTGACACAGTGTGGACAAGGGTTCTAACGGTTCAACTGTCTTTATCATCACTTCGTCAAACGCGTTCGAGAGTAAAGCTTCCATCTTGTCGCAGAAAATTGTGTCGTGGTCGTGGCTGCGAAGATATTCCACTGCTCGCGTTGCCTGAGTGTTGATAAGAAGCTTAAACTCATTCGTTGAACTCATTGTCTTGTCAAATCTACAATCTTGAAGCTGCCCCACGATATCGAAGAAGTTTTCCTTTTGTAGTTCCTTCATGACGTATCCTTTGCCGTGGAATCGTCCGATCTCGCGCATTGCCGCCAATGTGTACTCCAAAGGAACGTTGTATTTATGTGGACAAGGACAGTATCCTCGTTTATTGACGTTCTCCAGAGCGATTACCGAGTCGGCAGGTGGCTTCTCGTCAACGTAGAAACATCTCGGAAAGTTCTCATCCGGTTGGGCATACATCCGGTAAAATAAAATTTCGTTGTGAAATTGAAAATCGCTGTTGTTCATCTGTCTCCAGACTTCTGCTTGTATCGGCCTCTTTAGTATTATAGAATGTTCTTCATTCTGACCCGTCAGTCTATTTTTAAACTTCACGCACGCGTAGTACATAGTGGACATAATAACTTCAGTGGGTTCGGTTATCTCATATCGAGCTTGATCGATGTTTGATCCAAAACTCTCGATGATCTTTGACATTACCTTTTCGATCCATTTCTGGAACTCTTTATCGTGAGACATTTTTATTCGTGCGATGTACAATTCGTTAGGTATGATTTTCCGTTGAGTATGTCTGTTTAGTGCGAGCGACGCTTCCTGAGTCGACCGCAGCTCAAGTAACACTGATTTTAACGGCCTTCGTTGAAATGAAAAGCGCTATCTCATCTTGTTACGCAAGATCAATTCAACTGTAGTAGATAAATACATTATTAAGCAATGTTGTAGGTAAAATTAAATTTATATATTGCATGCGTGTGTTTACGTAATCCATATATATAATACAATAATTAGAATAAATTTAAAAAAATAACAATGTATATGACATAGACAATTTATTTATTTTATTTTATTGCTGGTATTTTTGGGTACCATTTTATGCAGTTATATATTAGGAACTACTTAAGTAAAACAAATTTTGAATGCGTAAAAGATTATTTTTTTTACGTCAATTTTTTTTTTAAACAGATTATCGTGTCCGAAAATTTTTATATCATACTGTGTTGGATAATGGATAACATATAGTAGACCTACTTTTCATCGTACGGTACTGGAGCATCTCGACGAGAGAGTCACTTGAGAATTACGTAATCAAAGAATTACGTCAGCAAAGTCCGTTTATCTTGAACGATGTAGCGGATGTAGCCTATACACAAAGGCATGTCTATATAACAGTGTAATGTATACCTACATTGTATGCGTGAATAACCGTAGATTGTAAGTTTTTACTTTACACAGCATAATTATACATTTCGCTAAATATTATTATGCGCTAAATATTATAAAATTTCATAGCTAAATCACCAAAAATGTTGCACGAAAAAAGAGAGATAAGGAACTATAAGGAAAATATAGTTTACATAATTCCTTGGCGATTTATCTAACAAAGTCAAAATGGACTTTATTAGATAAATCAGTGGGGAAACAACTCTTTGCGTAACATAACGTAACGTATTTTAATTGCTATTTTAAAAAGCATTTAACTCGGATCGTCAAAAAACGGAAAAGATTTTTAACCTGCGCACTAACGGAACGAATTGAGTTCTACGCCTGGGAAAGTTGACGTTTTTCTGGTCCGGTAAAGTGCGTCCCAAGGGCGTGGATGGTAGTGTGCTGTTGTCGAATATAGAAATAGCATTTGCATTCTCCACTTAGAAGTAATCGCGGTTGACGTTTTTAAGTAACTGCTTGAATGAAAATTATAAATATCTGAAGCTTATATTATCGTTCCCCTCCCCATAAACGTCAACTATAACGAGATCAGTGATAAGTTAAATTCAAATACTTTTTATTTTCAACTGTTTAAATATATACTAAATATATTGGTATTTCAAAAAACAAGGCAAAAATGCAGGGACGATCGTACAATGACGATGTAGGACTTTTGAATCTACATACAATTTTGTGAAGCGTATCAAAATTTTGTCTCAATAATACATTTTTAGTTGGAAATTTATTTCATAGCGCGATAAAAGCACATTAATGTCTCATATCCTGAAAACGTTCCTCGTTGTGAAAGTACAAGGTCCATTCTCTCTGAACTAGTAACCAGGCTCATCCTGCCTCTTCTCGTCCCCTCTGCTCTTCCCCGAGTGAGTTAGGCAGGTTTTCGGTCGGATGACGGAAAAACGTCTCCCGCGATTTTTCCAGGTAAAGGGATTTTGCATAATCACTAGTGATGTTGTGTGTGTATTTAAGTGGCTTGCTCGGTAAACGGCGAGAAGAGGCAACTCGAGCCATGGCGCTATCTAAATAGTGTATTGCGCGATAGTTTTAACGAGAAAGAACTTCGAGTGCTAGTGAAAACTTTCAGCGTTACGCGACGTGTTGCTAAATTTTAATATCAGCGTGCATTATCTATTTTCGTCAAGGATTTCCGTCCGTATATTTCGGGTATTATAATTATCTTATCTGTGCGCGATTGTATATCGATGGAGCAATATTTGTTTTAAACGATGATTCATCCCACGATATTTCTTGGCTGCGTGATATTCAGAAGAGCCCATCGTCTCTTCTCTCGGCGGAATACATAATTACGGGGAGTTGGTTGAGAAGCGAGAAAGAAGGAGAGAGAACGCTGCTCGACGCGATATTGCCGCGTTCTTTTCCCTAGGCGCACAATTCCCTGTCGAAAATTCCGCAAAACATAACAATGACTGGCGTTAAGGAGAGGACTGCCGGCTACGCGGGACGAATCGAGTCAGATTAAATTTCCATTGCAAATTTCATTCAACGGACTGCTTCGTTCCTTACTCGCTCTTTCCTAGTCTCTCTCTTTGTCTTTCTCGTTCTTTCTTCAGGTGCTCTCTCACTGCCGACGGTATGACAACGACTCAACATAGCGTTGTCCCCCCCACAAGATGAACGAGGCGACTGGTATTTACGCGAGGAACGATGAAGCGTTTGCGGGATAAGGGTCGAGTCGCTGGTGTACATCTAAGTGTCGTTATCTGTTTTCTTTGTCAAAGATTATCACCTTGCACGTGGCTGTCACGATCCACCCACAAAGTAGATAACTGTCCCGAAGCTGCAATCCATAACCGAGACATTAACAACCATAAACGAGATACGCTACGGTAGATGCGAGGTTAAATACGATTGTAGCTTCGAATGCAGCTTTTCTAAAGCTCTATAAACATCGCGCGTCGTAGGTATCTAATGCTGTGTCGAGCTTCTTGGGTGTTCTTGCTGAGTTAACTCGTGGCGGCTACAAACGATAACGAAAGCTTCTTGCACCTAATACGCGACTAAGTGCTCGTTAGACTAATGAGCCCTTAAAAATACGCGCTTTCTTGCGCTATCCCAAGGAGTCGAGCTATTGAATGAAGACTTAATGATGCGTTCACAGGTGGTCTTTGTTTCATTGGACGCGGTCTGTCGCCACCATCATCATCGTTCTCGTCTTCAATAACAGTAAAAATTATTTCAAAGTCATCAGTCGCATCGTGCAGAAGATAAGAGAGTAGATAATAAAATACAATAAATGTAATAAGTAGATAAATTTTTATTTTCGTCCGTCGCTCACTTAATACGACGGAACGTGGCTATTATTATTTCTTACACTGACATTTTTTTCCCGTTACGTATCACGCAAACTGCTTAGAGATGCTTCGTCACATTCTTAGCGACAATTAACGTTCCCACAAGATAACAGCGGATTTTACAACATATGTTGCAATTCTCCCACGTCATAGGTATTTTTCGTTACGCTCATCGGAAATTCATCTCGCTGACTCGTATAGAAGGGACATCGAACAGAACTGATGAATTTCGCGCGTTCCTGTTCCGTGCGAAACAAATGGCAGCCAATCGGCGTTCGCGCGCATCTCGAAAGTGAAAATTAATCCGATCGGCCGTGCGGGAAATCAATTCTATAATAAATCTCCCTCGGGCGGATCGTAAATAATATCCGCGCCGTGCACCGCGAGATAGCGCGTTGGCGCAACGGCGCGACAAAGAAATATGACACCCCACGGTCAAGCTTATTTATCGGCGAGACCCGTCCTGAACGGCACGGCTCCAACCGAGAACTCCAGCTAGGACATTTTACACACCCGCTGCATCCATCGAAAATCCTTGCCTGCTGCGCACGAGAGTTCGCACTCCAACGCATGGGGCAATCATAAACCTTCCGAGTTGATTCTCTTGTGACACACTTTGAACGGTTTTGGCTGAACTCTATGTATTCCCTATCGATCACCCTATTTTATCAGGAAAAGAGGGAAAATGATGTAGTGTTGTGTAGTATATGTTTTATAGAGATGCTCTCAAGTCTTTTTAATATATCTAAAATTATAATTACTGAGTCTATCGAACAGTATTTAAATATAGGTACTCGAATCGAAGAAAACCTTTTTTCACTCATAATTATTTAGATTTTTTAGAAATTTTTTTGTAATACGAAATAAAATAAAAAGTATTCTTGCTAACGAAATTAATACTTAAACAATTGCAACAATACGTTATATAAACTTATTGTTATTTCACTAGCATTGTAAATCTGTTTTTTTACAGCGCGTTACATTAGTTATTTCGACCAGCGAAATTATTATGAATTATTAACATAATTGATTTTAACATAATAAAAGCGGTCGGTTGCATTAATACAAACGTATCAGACTTTAGTGCAATATCTCGTTGTGTGTTATTTATTACATCATTCTATTTCTCTCCGTAATTTCCGCAACGTTTGGTTTAAAGTAACGACCATTCCCGGCGACATTTATTTTCCATTAAGATGTATCTATCTGCGAACAGTGCGAACAATATAAAATCGTTTGTTAGCGGTACGGGAGCCGGCATGTAATACATTAGCTATCGAGCTTATATCCCGTTCTATCGCGGCAAATCTTACTCCCCCGGCAATTATTCCGCGCTCCTGCGGCGAATCCTTGGCAGAGACCACATGCACGTGTCGGACGTGCTACGTGCGATTTCTTGCGATCAATTGGCAAAGCGGAACTTTAACACGGTCCGTAATCTCGGACTCTGCCAATAATGGGTAAACTTTGTCGGTGCGCGCCTACGTAACTCGGACGAGTCGCAGCCATCGGAATTGCATCGCGGCAGGGACCGCTAATACCGGGGCCAATTTACTTGGAGGGAGGAGGAAAATTTAGGATAGATGCGAGCCTTCGTGCAAGCCTTCCTGCCGTCTCTATATACCAGTATCTCTATATCGAGCAAAGTTTCTTACTCGCAAGCCGCGTTCGAAGTTATTTCCATATTTCGCTCATTTGGAAATTAGCTTAATTTGACAATACTGTTCATATAGACCAATAAGCTTTCAAAGCGAAGAATCAGTCACAGTACGAAACTGGTGGAATATTGCGCGCGATTTATAATAGAAATTTGTAACAGCAGTAATAATGTTAATAATTAAATTCGTGCACTTGCGAATCGTTGGAATGTCTTGGCGCGAATTCTGCGGCGAGACTCGCAAGGTACACTATGTGCTTGAAGCAAAAACCGAAAGGATGGGGATGTATGCGCCGGTCTATCTACCAAGCGTTTAAGCAAAAGTTGTGAATCTGAATTTTAAAATAGGAGAGAGACGGCGTTCGGCGTTGTCTACTCGCGACCTCGCCCGGGCAAGGGTAGGTTTCGCAGTAGATTGAAAGATAACTCTACGGCTTTCTATCTCTCCTCTTCTTGCCTAACCTTTACTGGCGGTACATCTCGTCCCCGATGTCGCGTCTCTTGCTCTATCCAGGGTTGTGTCTCCTCATCCTGTCCGATTTTCCATCGCCGCAGATATTTTACGAGGTGGCTTCGACTTCGCGGACCGTAAAATCTCGAAATTTAGGAGAGGATCTAGCTGCAAGGACGCGACCCACTGCACCGGGCCTCGCGTGTCTACATACGTCCTTCGCGAAATATCACGAAAGGCAAAAGCATAGGCATATAGGTATCGTTGCCGCGCGCCTCTTGTTGATTCGAGGTCACGAAGGAGCGTGATCATCCTGGTAGCATCGAATTGAAACGAAGCGCGTCTCGACCCCAATTCTGGCATGTAACTCGAAATGCGCCGGGGAATCGCTGATGCGCGCATTCCGCGGCTCATCAGCCATAACTCGATATTATCCGGAGCCACGGGATTTAATGGACCATCGAGTGAGATAAACGCGCTGCAAATATCGCGATTAAACCTGCAATTGCTGTCTGACGGCACGTTACCGTGCCGTCGTTGAGCGCGAAGAGAAAGCGCGCGGATTTACGCTTATTCTCGCGAGTTGATGCGATAAATTCTCATTTTTGTCGATGATGCGATACAGATGGAAACCGCGGCGTAGACTATAGGAACAAAGGCGAGAAACAGGAGTAAACTACAGCGCGATTCCAACTGATTCCAAACATGCCGCGTCTGATTATTATATTTTCTCGCTCCTAGTTCTCTTCCCGATCTTTTTTATCATTTGGCTCCACTTTGTGTATTATCCTGTTAATTCTATGTACCGAAAGATTTATTTTCGTGGATAAAAATACATTAAGTTATTCAATTCAATTTTAGTTGGAAACACGCTTCAGATTATATAAGAAAATTAGGTGTGGTACCCTTATTAAATGATAGGGTATATCGCATCTTTTTAAATTGAGTTTACATCTCTTCTAAATTAAGTTAAAAGCAAAATGTTGGTCACGGGCGTATGAACGGACGAAGGAAAGGAAATTGAGGAAATGGGGCAGATTGCGAGGTCTTGGAAAGGTGGTCAATGGCGTTGACTCATAATTAAATTAGCTTGAGCCCATTGTACGAGCATCGCCAGCTCTTGTAACCCGTTCGTTCCAAACTTGGCCAATTCTAGCGGCCTTTCGTGAGCGCTCGAATTTCTTGTCGCCAAATAAAACAGACCCGTCGAAATTGCTCGTAGCCTTTCGCTAAATTTAATAAAGAAACTTGTCGAGACTCTCTGCGAACAAAGTTTTGTCCGTTATATGAGTCGCAATCACGATGGAGCGTATTTGTTTCATATACGTGCATAAAAGGTAACATTATTATATATAATACAAAATAGAGCAACAGGAAGTTCATTATTATCGTAAAATTTTTAGATCTGCGCTTTTAGTATTAAACCGCATAGTGTTAAAATAAATTTGTAACAATTTCAAGTGATAAAATTTCACTGTTAATTAAAAATTATATCCCATTATTCTGAGAAATATAACGTAAGCTTTGAAAGCTCGTTGCTATTTTATCATTATTATGACAGTTTCGACTGAACACTAGTAAAGAAAACGTTACGTTTAAACTCCCGGGTACTTTTCGCTCGTATTTGATATTTCTGCCATTAGCCCGACTTCGGTGTATAATTGATTATCGCTCCTGGTTGAGAATTTTGTTCCCCATTCGTTTTGTGCCTTCGTTCATTGTCAGAGCGACAAGATTCTCGCGTGAATATTATCTAACGACGCCGCTGCCGCCGCCGACGGAGCTGATTGCGCGGAGAAGCGCGAAAGGATCGGGGACCAGAGGAAAACGGATTAACGTTGAGTGGAATCGCCGTGGAGAATTCGCGATACGAAAGTCGTGGATAAAGTTCTCCAGCCACCCGCGGGGATAACTGGCGACGTTTGGAAGCGCCTAAAGTGTCGTTGCTAAGAGAAAACGGGCCGGATTATGCGCGTCGGCTGCGCCGCGCCTCGAGATTCAATATTTGCCGCATCAGCCGCCAGCGCGTCTCCTCGCGTAATCACGGCCTAATCAAGAGCGACGAAATTCGATTATATACTCGCCGAGTTCCTGGCAATAGAGCGTAACTAGCGTATGATAGCGAGGCCCGGCGGAAACGAGCCGGGCCGGTCGTCGGTAGCACTGCTGGTAGCAGTTGGCCTGTCGAGATGGTAGCAACGAAACAGCCAATTACATCCACGCCCTCGATCACGTCAGCTGAGATGAATAAACTGCGCTTGCACAAAAGCGTAATAATTCGTAGCGTTAGCTACTTTTCGAACGCCCCGGTTCGTTTAAAACCCGTTTGACGAAATTTGGAGCGACGATGGGAAGCGACCGGGTTCATCCTGCTCACGCATGGGTGAGCAAGATAATTGCAAATTACGTTTTTAATTCCGACAAATTCTACTTCGTCTATATCGAACGTAGGATATTCACGTTGCGCGAATCATCGCGATTAATTTATTTCCGTGTGGAAACCTTGTAAACATGGTTGAAACATAGTATGGTTGAAACAAGCAAACCTCTCTTAAACTTGCGAAAATTAGATGATATCGTCTTGAGAAAATTATTTCTTTGTCGTCGATTCAACGCGGAAGTTGCTGAACCGATAAACAATTCTCGTAACTCCCCGGGGTGTCCGCGACGATGATACTTTGCTTCGAGAAGTTTATTGCCAGCTTACTCGCAGTTCAAAACACTTAAACTCAGTTTATCCGAGATAAGTATAAATATTTACGCCATTAATCGATCAATATTCTCTGCACTCTCTTTTTCTTCTTCCTTTCTCGAATTAATATATTTGATAACATGATAACATTGATTAGATAAACGATATATAGGATAATAAAAATAAAAGTTTAACGTAAACTTTGTGTGAATTATTTTGCATACATGATGTAAAATTTTACATATTCTCCTGTTTGTGAACTATGATAAGATAATCGTATTTTATGTTGGATAGTTTTCCAAACTTTACTTCAGTGTTTTCCGAAGAAAATTACTTATATTGCTGTTCTGTCCAACAACTCATTTATCGTCAGTATTGCGATGCATACAGCGATGTTTAATTGAATAAAGCGAAGCAGCTTCTGTCAGAAGAAGTGCATTATGCACTTGGCGATGCACGCGCCATTTTCCTTTGTCCGTTTCGTACTATCGTCGCGGCGTTGACGAGACAATAAAAACATCTTTGCGGTACAAATGGATCACAGAGATTTTCTTATTTTCTGTGTCTATGAGAAAGAGAGAGGCGCAAACAGGGAAAACAGGAAAGCGGAATCGTTGACGCGAGGGTAGGTTTAGTGTAGGTTACCTCTAAAAGTCAAGGAGAAAGGAGCAATGCGGTTAATGGCCTCGCTACTTGTAGCGACAAGCGAGCACTCGTTACATTCCGCTAATTACGATTTCAGCTTTCTTTCTGCAATTTGTCGTATAATTTGCGCATCCGAGACCATAAGTGGATTGTTCCCTTTATGTTAGTCAAATTTTATTTATCAACGGTTGCGCGCATTTAATTAAAATCTCGAATCCTTTGGCTTTTTTCATTAACTATACTTGCGTATTTGCGTATTCCCGCACTCTTGCTCTTTAATGAGAAACCATTACGCATTGCAAGCTCCACTTTCTAACAAGCATAATTAATAGTTTAGCATATGGTAACTACTCATGCAAGCAATGGTAATATTGCTGTTATTATTATTGTTGTTATAATTATTAATATCATAATTATATTCTATGATGTATCTATATAAAATGTTTTTGTTGCATGTTACAAACGAATAAACATTATACATATCCGCTTTCATTATAGCATCCGCTATTCATCATTTTATTTTAATTTTCCCTTGTTATTATAACTTTTTCACAAAAAATTTTATTTCAATTCACTGAGAAGGTCATATTTCACATTAGATAATAAAGTACGTAACACAAAGCCTAAAATTTAATGACAAAAATGTATTCGACTATGCATGCTGATTTTTATTCGCCAGAGGAGTAATTTTTTCTAAACTTTCAACTTTTCCTCCGTTTATCAGGAAACTTGCAGTACTATTTCGTAAATGGCGCACCGACTGCAGTCGGTGTCGTATACAAGGAGACGCGTCTTACGTTTAGCTTCTCGATATCTAGCATGCAAGAACAATCGCAGGAACAAAGAATACGTACATGTGGTGCTTTAAGATATGTACGTCGCCGCGAACGAATGTCCTCTCCCGTTCAGCATCGAAATTGCCGCATTTACACAACGTTTCTTTCGGTTTCTTGTATTTCAGAAGTGCACTGCCACAACATCCCATACGGCGGCAGCGGCAAGAACAGCGACACATACAACCAAAACGCTCTGGAAGAGACCACACGATCGGGGCCGTATTTCGACAAATCGGCCTCGAAGAACGTGACCGCCCTGCTGGGAAAGACCACGTACCTCAACTGCCGTGTCAAAAATTTGGGGAACAAAACGGTGAGTGAGAAAAATTCGCATATTCGCAAAGAAGAGAATCCATATTATTTGCCGGTATTTTTTGACTTATTTATTTATATCAACAGCGTTATGATGCAATTTCTTCAGATTATTTTTATAAATTAATCTTGTAATAATAATAATATAATAATCGCATTATATGTTGACGCGAATATTATATTTATAAAATATTAAGATGATTCGTTGATTCAGAGAGAAATATTAGGAAACAGTGTGATGAAGTAGATACTAGATCAAAAAAGCAATCTTACTTTCAATATGAATTAAACATAAAACTTTTTTAATATTTTATTATAATTTTTAAATCACGATGTGTTACTGCGTGATAGCTAATTTCTTTTCCGAGGAAAGAAAAGTTAAATTTTTATACTGAAAAGAAATATTGAGAAACTCTGGAAAAAGATAACAGAAGTACCAATATTAAGCAGCAACGGAGATGAATCCGGCTCATGCTTTTGTCGCCTATATAACAACTCAAAAGTAGCGAACGAAGCCAATTCGACATTACGAATCGGAGGATTAAATCTGACAAGTTATAGGGATGTATAGTTTCAGCGACGTGGAATGATGAATGTAGAAATCTCTCTTTTCTTTCTCGCGCGACAAGATCTCTCTAATGCGGGAGGCTACGCTAAAGTAACACATTCGCGGGAGTAGATTATCGGGACGACACTTATGTAAACATAGCATTTCTACGTTTTCTTCGGTCCAGCCTGAGTGAGAGAGGCAAAATATCGAGTGTCAATATTTTATCGACACAATGGAGCGTCACCTGTCCCGGGCAAACTGCGGGGGTTACCGTCGGAAGTGCACTCGGGCACCAGCGCGACACCATGGTCTCTCGACAATGCCATTGAACGAAGTGTGCAGGTGCCTTTGGTATAGGTATATACATACATATACATACATACATATATATATATATATATATATATATATATATATATACACATATATATTATACATATGTATGTATATATATGTATAATATTTGACCGTTGTGGTGGCTGTGCAATTAGGGCAGCTGCAGACGGAGCTTTGCACAAGGCAAATAGGTTTATAGAGCGTGGCATTATGAGTGGCATCGATAAAATTTGGATTGATCTCGCGTCTCAGCTGGCTTTTTTCACGAACAGGCAGAAACTTGTAAAAGCAAAACCACGTAATTCTCATTCGAAAACTAATGAGGTGAATCCCGTTTGTTTTATCATGTCAAAGCATTTTGGTCGCGTTGCTGTGCTAAAGAACTTTCTTTTTAAATACATTCGTCATGAGTTTCGTTAACGATACGCGTGCATACGTTTTTTCGGTACCTTCCTAGTGCATACGTGCTGGGTCTATCACGTTTGACGCTATTTTTCTCTACCTTAAAGAGTATTAAAAAAAAATCTAAAAAAAATTCACAAAACATCTGTCTACATTGTAGTTGATGATTTTATAGTCATTTTAATAAACATCATTTATTTAATACTTTCTGGCAGGTTTGCAAGTTTTACAGTTACGAGCAAATATCACTTTGGCTCGGACGCCGTAGACTCACGTATGCACATGGAGGGTTAAGCATTAATGGGAAATATTTTATGCCGCTCGATGTATGCATTAAGCGGACGTCACATGTACATGTTAGGAGCGATATGATGGTAGACGAATTGATCGTCTAAGGATTAGACTTAGGAGTAAGCGAGGGAAAGATAGGCCTGGTTATAACTCACGTAGTCGTCTCGTTTTGCTCGCGCCTCGTGGGAGCGATTACATCGCTTGGATTATTCCCGATGATTTCCCACCAATTCATAGTTACCGAGACACATGAAAGAGTTAACATTGATTCATATAACGCGCATGTATGTTAATTCGTCATTTTATCGTTTAGGTATTAAAGATTAATTATCCATCCTAAAAAAAAATTAATTATATTACAAATTTATATCTACACATAAGGTATATTAAAAAAATACCTTATTTAATTTCTAAAATTTTTACGATTCAATAATAAATTAAAGATAGAATCTAATGTTATTTTAGTAAAGATTGAAAGTAGAGAAATTATTTAACAACTTTGATTAAAGTTTAATGATAATGTTTGGGATCCATTAACTAATTTGAGGAATGCTTTAAATACGATCAATCGCATTTTCGGTATCTTACAAAAAGCGAAAGACACTTAAGAAACTCTGAGACATAATACTTTGTAACAATTGAATTGGTAATGCACGTCAGTTTATACAGCGATGCAGCTGCTTAGTCGGTAGCAAGAAAGGGAGGGCGAGGGAACGTACTCGGTACTCGGTATCGGAATCGACCGACTTTCGAATGCGACGTCCGGATTTATCGTTCTTGTGTGAAACTCGCCGAGGATCATACAGCGCCGGGGCCAGATTTATTGGATGAAGTGAACGTCCGCCTTGACGAAGGAGAGCAATGCGTCGAGATGCGGAGTTCTAGTACGGGCGTGTTCCACGCGCAGCCCATGCTTTACTTAATCTATGAATCGCCAAGCACCGCAGAGTTCGACGTTCAAAAAGAGGCGCGGATTCATTCATATGTATGCCGCGTAACCCAGTTCGAAATCAATTCTACTCGAGAGGTGTGCGGCGTTTCCCTCGAAACTTGAACGCGGCGTTTCTAGACATCGGTCGGCTCTCGTGAGTACGCTAACGATCTCTCGTGAACACGTTCTCTCTCGCGAGTGCTTTCCAAAAATTTCCGCTCAGCATCGAGAATTGACATTATTAATCTGAAGCCGATGTATAAACAGCCTGCAACGTTCTTCTCGTAATATTCTCTGTATACTTTGGACCAAAATTTTTTTCTTTCAATTAAATTTTAAACTAACTTAGTTAGGTTTTCACGATACGTAAATGAAATATCGTGTTTCTCGGAATCGTTTTTCTTCCATTTCTGTTTTTACTTTTTACACTCATTTATTGCGAAATCACACACATGCCGTGTACTCGTCCTCGAGAAACCTGCATGCCAAGCGTATATCTCGTCATCGGCAATATCAATATCACTTGTGTTTATTTTACCGATTAACTTAACCCGCTATCAGAGTCGCGGATGGATATTTGATTTCTAAATCGTGTTTACTGTCAGCGTTCGCCAGAAGCTCATCGATGGTTACGATTTAACCTGACAGGGTATTGGAAATCTGGAGTCGAATCGAAACCGCACAGGAAGCTGTACTTGGCTAGAGCTTAATTAAATTCAATGCTGAAATGTCTACTGGATAGAATACAATTACAATCGCAAGCGGATAAATGAGAAAGTCTTCTTGTTCGTTCGTCTTTGGAGTTAAATTAAAATAAATAACTCGCCCCCTATTATCGAGAAAGACATACTTTAGGGAAGCTTAATATGATCCGTGGATAAAAAAACGGGAAAAGAGATAAAGGGAGAAGAATTCTTCGGTGATAGATTCTTACGGCAGTCTCTGGAAGCGGGAAGAACAAATGCCTGAAGAGAATTTCTTTCCATCCGCGTCGCAGTGAACATCGGCTGGAACGATAGAATCGATTCGATATATAGATGGGACGATTATCGCTGTGCCCACCGGTTGACTTACATTAATTCAAGATCAAAGCCTTCAACGAGCTGGAGCAAAGTGCTCTCGGCCGGAGATCTCTTTAAAATCCAAGAAACGAGAGCAGGACATTGTTACGTAAGGAGACGAAATCTACCTTTGTAAAACTACGAGAGCTCATAATGAGCGGATAAAAGACGACGAAGACCGAGGTCGCCTATCGAGATTTCATCGATTACGATACGTCATCATGCGCTCGTGGGACAGGGATTCTTGTTTGATGACCGTTATCCTTCTGGAAATACAACTTAACTCTTTGCGCTCCAATTATTGTCAAGAGCCGGGTTTGCCAGCTGACCCCTTTCGCTTATCATGCATATCGACGAGAACACGGATATCTCTTTTTAATTGCCGATGTAATAACGAAGACGTCCAGTGTGTCACATTGAGTGAACGATGCTGATTCTCTTAAGGAAACGACTCTGTTATTGCTAGTGTAATGAAGACATTCGCCAATCGATCGCTTCATTATGTTATACGATTCTACATATATCTTTCATCCTTCAATGTTTCGGTTTTTTCTTGAAAAACTATTTTTTATTTTTTATTTTTAATATACATTTTACATCTTATTTTGTATCTTATGATATTTTTTAAATTTTCTTTAATTGAATTGTGATTCAATAATTTTTGCAATTCTTTTTTGCAATTGTCAGACTCGCGTGATTTTTCATTTAGCTATTCATTATCCTGTTCACCAAAGATACGTTTTCCATTGTGGTCAATTTTGATCACCGATGGCATCACACCGATGTCACTGTCTGCGTATACGATCAACCCACCAATTTCGTCAACTCGCTCGACCTGCAATAACTCCGGCATTCTCAGGCAGCACACGTGAGCTTGCTATCAACGTGATGCGAAAGACGAATACGCGCGCGAACACCCGATCAAGTGAGACGATAACGAAAAAGAGAGCTCCGATTCTATTGCGTTTCCAACATCTTTGACTGTTGTGGAGGTTGACGCCGGTCACTCGCAACAAACAATCGGCCTCGTTCCTTCGTTCCTTTTCCGCGAACGTACATCGATTGCAAAGAGTGCCCTCAAACTGAAAAGACGCGTCCCTCGACAATAGTTTTCTATCGGCCTTATAATCGAAGAATCGCCGCAACATATCGATTTCGATCTCATCAACCGAGTATTCTGCCGCTATTATTACTTCTAAATGTATGGCATATATAATAATTACATTATTATTTAAATATATTAACTTTTTCAGTATACGTTTAATTTTGGGGTTAAACGCTTTGATCTAGTTTGGAAAGGATTAGTGTTAATAATTTTGCATTTATTTCGGCACCGATTTCTCGATGCGATAATTAATCAGTATTAGCCGAGGAATTGAGGAAGAGGCCACGTGCGTTATAGTGTTTTATGCGTCTGCCAGCGCTAGGGA